ATATAATAACACTGACATGTCATCATTGCCTATGATTAAAATTCATACTTTAAGAGTGAATACCCTCACTAAACATTCGTTAATTAAATTATCGATAACTTTTTATCGATACACCTACCTGCAGCCAATGTAGGATAATGAAGTAACCTTTGCATGTTATCGTAAAAACTTAATGAATTAAAAAAAATGTTTTCCTGCTCATTTCTCACAAATAAACATTGATTTAGTGTTATTTTTATTTTAATTTAATGTATTTACTTAAACAAAGGCTATTCGTTTAAAAGCGTGTCTTATAAAAATAGTTTATGAAATACGTAAATTAGTGCACGTCGTTACAATGTTATATAGTAGAAATTTTTATGAACCATCATAGAGATAATTCCAGATTATTTTTAGTATAAGAGCGTACGACTTCCAACAAAATAAATGCGTGTTCATTCTCAGAATACCTAGTCGAAAACTAATTCTAAAAGGTATCTTATGTATTTAACCGACGACATCATCAAACACGATTAGAAGTAAATAACAGAACATCGAATTTCAAAATGTATTGTTAGTGTTAAGATTCTCGATATAAAGTCATATATGGGCTTAGATGAAAACTTGACGACTTGTCAATGTTGTATTGGATAGACTAAGCTGATTGCTTAGTTGTTTTTGCCATTTGGAGAAAACTTGAGACTAAACTGTTCATAACTTACGCGTCCAGAAAATTCCTTACCAAAAACAGTTATCCAAGTTCCCACATCTTCAGTATATATGAATCCTATGAAATGCACATTTACATTTGTCTTCTTTGGCAACACTTTTTTTTCATAGATCGCTTTAATCGCTAAGGCTTTTTCAACTGTATAGACTGTAGCCGGATATGCCCCGTCTTTCAGGCAATTATAAAAAGAATCATTCCAAGATTTCAGTTCTGGTACGAATTTATAGCATCTGCTTGTGAGTTTGTTAAGCGTATATTCTGAAAGAAGATATATATTTTGTATTGCTATAAATTCTGTATCCATATGAAGGTCCTTGACCCCTGAACTGTACCATTCCCAAAGCATACCACCTATCCTATTAAATTTTATAAAATTGGGATCCTTCATGGAAAAAAGCGGGTGCAGCCTACTAATGACTTTAATATCTCAGATATGTAAACTTGTAAATGTTTACGGTGAAGGAATATATCATGAAAAAATAGATATCGAAGAAGGTTCAAAACTGTTGGAAACGTGTGAACTTTCCAACCTGCATTTGGGCCTTATCTAATCCTGATAGAAAAATCGCGACTAGCATGGGTAACAATCATACCCTTGTCCGTGGGACCACATTGTTCATCCTCTGGTCTTACTACTTTCTTGTGGCAAATAAAAGGTAGCGTGGAGTTGCAATTTTCCGTCGCCAGTGTACCGTCGGGCTGAAGCACGATGCATGCGTCATCACCAGCTGGTGTAATTCTTGTGAAGTTTGGTTCATCTTTACCCCACTTGGCTGCGAATTTTTTTACATGTTTATCTGGAATGATGT